CTGTAAGAAAAACAAAAAACCAAACCCGTAATTTTAGTTACTTTATTTATTCAGTTTTAAGATAAGCAAAATTGTAAAATTGTTTTTTGTCCTAGGTTCAAATAAGGCAATATTTGCATGGTTTTGCACTGATAATAGTGCTTTGTGTGCACTTTATTATCTTGTTAACACAGCGAAATTAATTTAACAAATTAGCGATTAAAAATGAATTTGTTTCAGTTTTGGAAGTGGCATCTGGCGATTACGGCGACTTTACCGAAATCTTGGTCAAGCAGTCAAATAACGGCTTAAACCAAGAATGGCGAAATAAACAAAGGAATTCTTTACAATTCCAATCGCTCGAACATATAGGTACACAAATCCGATTTAAAGTCCAGTAAATAATTGTGAAATTGCAGATAAATTAATGGAAAGTGGGCAAATAACCCCAGTAAGGGCCCCCCCAATCCTGTTCAAAAAAATCACCAATAACACCAAAGACCCCAGTTTTTGTGGCAACAGTCAATACCCAACTTCCTTCTGTAACCAAATCTTCGTGTTACTAAAACGGGCATTTCTCGTGTTAAGTCGTGACCGAACTTTGACTTATTCTCGGATTGCGACACACTTGGGAATAGCCCTTTTTATAGGAACACTTTATCATGGAATAGGAGAGGATGCTTCGAATGTTCTCAATAACTTCAATTTCTTATTTTTCTCCGTGATGTTTCTGATGTTGACGGCGTTCAATTGCGTCACAACAACCTGTAAGAATGCAAATTAGCCTTTTTATTTGCAAAATACTCGCTTTCTAGTCCCTTCCGAATTGCCCATTATCACAAGAGAGCACTTCAACAAATGGTATTCGCTCAAGTCGTATTATTTAGCAATAACACTAGCCGATATTCCAGTACAAGTAAGTTTTTCCCCAGTTCTAGGGATTTTTTGGCAAAAAAAGGGTTTTTTCAAATTCTTTTAGGAATTTTTTTGTTTTCAATAAGAACATCAAAATATTTAGTTTGCCACATAGTAACGAAAAATCAAAAAGTATTTTCTGTAATTTTAATTTAAAATAATATACAATCTATTTATTTACCAGAATTTGTTTCAATTTATTTGTTTTTTTCTTTCTGTATTTTCATATTAGTCTAGTGACTTGGTAAAAACTTTTGTTAGAATTAATATATCTGGTGATTTTTTTCAGTATTTTCCACGTTTTTCAGCAGAAACTTGATTATTGCATCAAATGTTTTCAAAAAAGTTGAAAAATAGTTTGTTTTTTTGCAAAATTTTAGAAAACAGGATCAAAAATGACAATTTATTTTTGTCTTTTTCAATTTTTTTTCCAGGTAGAAACACAATTATTTCGCAGAATTTCGTTAAAAACAATCCAAAAATTCAACAAAGTCGACCAAAAACGGCGTTATTTTTGACCTTTTCAAGCGTTTAAGCACGTTTCTTAAGATAAAAACAAAAAAATTTTAAAAATTTTGTTGATGTAGGCAAAAAATTACAAAATCGAAATTATTTTAGCTTGTTCTGCTCGAGACTCATTTTAAAAATCATAAAAACAATTAATGTATATGTTATTTTGTTTATTTCACTTGATTTTGAGTAAAATAAGACAAAAATAAGCCGAGAAACCACAAAATTTGGCCGAAAGTGCGTTTTCGTACTAAAATCTCAAGTTTTTCACTAGATTTTGCTAAAACAAACAAAAAATCAAGAAATTAAGTCTAGAATTACATTATTTTTGCATTTCTCGAGCATTTTATTATGTTTTTCATGTTTTTCAGCTAGGAACGCAATTATGTTGCAAATTTTTGTTTCAATTTATTTGTTTTTCATCTGATGATTTTTTGAAAATGAAAAAAACCGTTTTTCAGTATTTTTTACGTTTCCAACCAGAAACTTGATTATTGCATCAAATTTTTTCAAAAAAGTTGAAAAATAGTTTTGTTTTTTGCAAGATTTTACAAAACAGGATCAA